AGAACAACAGCACAGTTGGAAGAGCATAGTCAATGTCACTGAACTGTGTATGTAGAAATTTTTGAAACGGTGTATCTTTGGCTATTTGTATTTCCCCCCCCCCAAAAAAAAAGTTGAGAATTTAGAGGGTTAATATGTTGTGGGGTTGTTAACCAATGTCATAAAACAACATGTGTACTACTGTTTCATGAGAAACTATTTGTTCGGTATGCCTTCACCTGAAGTACAATAAAATATAAAAAAAAAAAAAGCGAGTGGCCATCTCAGATACATCTACTGGTCTCATCCCAGCTGGAACAAAGGAGAATCAAGAAGACCAAAGGACTAAGAGACCACAACTACCACAACCTCCACCAGACTGAGCCCAGAACAACTAGATGGTGTTTAGTTACCATCACCAACTGCTCTGGCAGGGATCACAATAGAGGGTCCTGGACAGAGTGGGAGAAAAATGTAGAACAAAATTCAAATTCACAGGAAAAAAAAAGACCAGGCTTGCTGATCTGACAGAGACTGGAGAAACCCCGAGAATATGGCCCCCGAACACCCTTTTAACTCAGTTCTGAAGTCACTCCTGAGGTTCGCCCTTCAGCCAAAGATTAGACAGGTCTAAAGGGCCAACAATAACACATGTGAGGGACATGCTTCATAGTTCAATCATGTATACGAGACTAATGGGCACACCAGCCCAAAAGCAAAAACGAGAAGGCAGGAAGGAACAGGAAAACTGAACGAGTGGAAACAGGGAACCTGGGGTAGAGAAGGGGAGAGTGTTGACACATAGGAGGGTTGACAATCAATGTCACAAAACAATTTGTGTATTAACTGTTTAATGAGATACTAATTTGCTATGTAAACTCTTACCTAAATCACAATAAAATAAATAGCATTTAAAAAAAATAATTCAAAGAAGAGGCTTAAATAGATACTTGTAGACAAATGTTCACTGCAGCATTATTCACAATAGTCAAGAGGTGGAAACAACCCAAGTGTCCATCAACAGACAAATGAATAAACAAAATGTGGTATATACAAACAATGGAATATTACTCTGCCATAAAGATAAATGAAGTCTTGATACATGCTACAACATGAACCTTGAAAACATTATGCTGAGTGAAATCTGTCAAATATAAAAGGACAAATACTATATGAGCCCACCAATATAAAATATCTAGAATACACAAATGAATAAAGACCAAAGTTTATTAGTGGTAACCAGGGTTAGGTGGGAGGGGAAATAGGGAGGAATTGCTTAACGGATACTGAGTTTCTGTTAACAGTGATAAAAAATTTGGAAACAGATAGTGGTGTTTGTAGCACAACATGGTGAATGTAATTAATGTCACTGAATTGTGCATGTAAAAATGACTGAAATGGCAAATGTTGTGTTACATATATTTTACCACAATAAAATTTTTAAACAGTCATTTACTTTGACATAAAACGCAATAAAGCATCTAGCAGGACGCTTTACATTTTTAGTGATAATATGAATCTTACCCATAACAAACTGTACTTTACTTTCATTTAAAAATATTTTTAAATGATTTATAGTTCTAACTTAAGCCTACTCCTGATTAATAATGCAATGTACCTTTGCCTAACTCTTCCTGCAAAGACCAAGAAAAAAGACAGACATATTCACATCAAATTTTCAGACAGATGTTGTCTAAAAGGGTCAGATTTTTTTCATTGTTTCTATCTGATGCAAAACAGAAGTGATTCAAGAGAGTACTGATTGAATAGGGAAGGACACAGAAATGCAAAATCTTGGCACTTACTTCAATTGTATGGATAATATCTCTGGGACCAATAATTTCTGGATCATATTTAATATGTGCTTTATTGGTTGCCAGGGCCACAGAGCAATAGAAAATCCCTCTGTGTTTTGTGAGGGTAGACTCTATTTTATGAACACAGGAAGCACAAGTCATTCCTCTTACCTGTTAAAGACAAAGGCTTTGTTATTCACAAATATACTTTTTACTCCATTAAACATGAATAGACATTACTTTTAACTAAAAAAACACTTGTGTCTTAGTCATCTAGTGCTGCTCTAACAGAAATACCACAAGTGGATGGCTTTAACAAAGAGAAATTTATTCTCTCACAGTCTAGTAGGCTACAAGTCCAAATTCAAGGTATCAGCTCCAGGGGAACACTTTCTCTGTCGACTCTGGAGGAAGGTCCGTGTCGTCAATATTCCCTTGGCTGGGTGCCTCTCTGCGCAGGAAACTCAGGTCCAAAGGACATGCTCTGCTCCTGGCACTGCTTTCCTGGTGGCATGAGGTTCCCATATCTCTCTGCTCGCTTCTCTCTTTTATATCTCAAAAGAGATTGGCTTAAGACACTATCCAATCTTGTACACCTCATCAGTATAACTGCCACTAATCCATCTAATTAGATCATAGTGACTGAATTTACAACACATAAGGAAATCACATCAAATTACAAAATGGTACACAATTCTACAATACTGGGGATCATGACCCAGCCAAGTTCACAGATATTTTGGGGGGACACAATTCAATCCATGACAACTTCTAACACGAGATTACCACATAGGATCTTAACTAAACTCTTAATACGCTTCAAATATGATAATTAGAATACCATTTTTATACCACATTAAACAAAGTTCTGGTCCCAGCTGTAACAGGTTTGATAGAATTTCAGGATCTCATTTTAAAATTCCCCCTCTTCCTGTCACTACTGCTCAGTGATAGAGGATTTGACATCTATCATTGTTTCTTGTATCCAATGCCTTACTTACTTCTTGATATATTTTTCCTCTGACCTTTAGTATTACTTTTAGTTAAAGTAAATGGGTAGTGTCTTATTTATGTATAACTTACCTGCTATAACAGAAATACCCTAAGTGGATTTAACAAACAGGAATTTATTTTTTATTGTTGTGCTTTAAGTGAAACTTTACAATTCAAGTTAGTCTCTCCTACAAAAATTTATACATACATTGTTTTGTGACCCTAGTTGCTCTCCCTGTACTGTGACAGCACACTGTTCCTTTACACGCCGGATTTCCTGTGTCCATTCAACCAGCTCCTGACCCTGTCTGCCTTCTCATCTCACCTCTGGACAGGAGCTGCCCATTTAGTCTCATGTATCTACTTGAGCTAAGAAGCACGCTCTTCATGAGTATCATTTTATGTCCCATAGTCCAGTCTAATCTTTGTCTGAAGAGTTGGCCTTGGGAACGGTTTTACTTTGGGCTAACAGAGAGCCCAGGGGCCACGTCTTCCAGGGTCCCTCCAGTCTAATCAAACTGTTAAGTCTGGTCTTTTGACTAGAATTTGAGTTCTTCACCCTACTTTTCTCCTGCTCTGTCAGGGACTCTCTGTTGTGTTCCCTGTCAGGGTGGGCACTGTCATAGCCAGGCATCACCTAGTTCTTCTGGTCTCAGGCTGATGAAGTCTCTGGTTCATGTTGCCCTTTATGTCTCAACAAACAGGAATTTATTTTCTCAGAGTTTAGAAGGCTAGAAGTCTGAATTCAGGGTGCTAGCTCTAGGGGAAGGCTTTCTCTCTCTGTTGGCTCTGGAGGAAGGTCCTTGTCTCTTCGGTTTCTATCTCCTGGTTCCTTGGAGATCTCCATGTAGCTTGGCATCTGTCTTCCCCCATCTCTGCGTTCTCACTTGCTTGTCTAATCTCTTTTATATTTCAAAAGAGACTGACTCAATACACACCCTATACTAATCTAGCCTCATTAATATAACAAACACAACTCATTCCCAAATGAGATTATAACCACAGGAATAAAGGTCAGGATTTACAACACATATTTTGGGGGGGACACAATTCAATCCATAACAGGTAGTAAAAGTTTTTTGTCTTTGTATGCCTAAAATGTATTTTGCCAGTATCTTGAATGATGTGATAGTTTAACTGGGTATTAAATTCTAAATTGGAGGAACAGAATTTCTGGAATGACTATATGAGGAACTCGGCAAATCCTCTTCCCAAAAAGCAATGACAAAACTGTACAGAATTGTCAAAACAACCATTAAAAGACTTTGTAAAGTGACCAAAGAGCATATAAAAAATTAAGAAACATTTATTCAAGAACATCTACTGAGGGAATGCCAGCAAAAAAGGATGGAGTAAGAACCTCTGAAAATTATCTCCTTCATAAAAGCAATGAGAAAACTGGCAAAAATTGACAGAATCAATGTTTTCAGAAATCTGGAAATTAAATAAAGTCCTGCAGCAAGACAGGAAGCACTTACTCAAGAAAACAAATGAATACTCAGTAAGAACAGCAAGCTATAGGCTATTATAACTTGCCTATTCACATCCCCATCCTTCCAGCTCCACAGTAGACTTCAAAGCCAACAGCCAACAAACACGGTAAAAAAAATTGTCTTTTAAAGCATCATGAAAGCAACTGGGGGAGCAGAACTGGGTTGGAGCTCCTTCAAAACTTCATTTCCAGAGAACTGTCATTATTACACCTATCTAATAGTTCCCTGGAAGAGTCAACTTACAAGGATACTTACATTTGTCCTAACTAGAGTTCAACCAAAAAAAAATATAATTAGAGACAATTATTTAACTTTGTGGCTGCATAAGTGGTGGAAAACAGTTGGGTAAAAACAACAGGCTAACCAAAAACTTTAAAAAGCTGAAAAATGGAAAGTCCATTGGGAATCTAGAAGGCTACACACAAGCGTAGTGCTGGGGTCATGTTTAGGGCTGTGTACATGCTAGAAAAGACAGGAAAAGGTCCTAAGCTCGAACCTGTCACTAAACTTTAGGCTCTGCACAAGCAGGAAGTGAAGCCTAATGCAGAGCTTGCAACTGCTGAAACTGTACACAGAGCACATTGGCAAAGATGAGAAACTTATTGGTTCCAGGCATTTAAGAAAATCTCTGTCCAATTATTATATGATCACGAACATAAACACAGAGAGGCTTCAACTGCCACACAGAACAAAAAATATAGATTTTACAAAATTAGTTCAGATGCTAGGGACCCTAAAACATGTCATAAATAGTATCCAAACCATAACTAATAATGCACAAACACCAGAAGAGAAACTAGATAACTGGAAACACCTAAAAATTAAACACTTACGCTCATCAAAAGACTTCACCAAAAGAGTAACAAGAGAACATAAAATCCAATTAAAAACTGGCAAAGAATATGAACAGACACTTTACCAAAGAAGACATTCAGGCGGCTAACAGACACATGAAGAAAAAGCTCACTATCATTAGTCATTAGAGAAATGTAAATCAAAACTACAATGAGAGGACTTCCGGCAAGATGGCGCTCTAGGCAGAAACACCACGCCGTCCCTCCACAACAAAGATCCGAAAAACTAAGCCAAACAGAGAATCAACAATCCTGAAACCCTAGAACATCAAATGAAG